CGAGGAAATGAGGATCCATTGGGACGGTCTTGCTAAGAAAGGGGAATGGGATTCCGTGAAGTCCGACCTTTCTGTGTACCGACTCAGTGGTTCAAAGGTGACTGAGGACCCCAGGAGGACCCCTGAATACAGGGAACAGGTAGTAGAAGGGCTTCACTTCGGCAAGACTGCTGAAGCTAAGAGACCCTACTTGTCAAAGGATGACCTTGAGGCCTGTAAGGACGTAGTCAGTAGGAAAGCTGCTGCCTTCTGGGTAGAAGGGACGCCGCGAACGACCATCCGGGGAGTTTCGCACGATTGCATCCCTACTGGAGCTCCGGTCTCTAGTCAACCTCACGCGTTGAGGGGTGAAGCCGCTGCTTGGGTTGATGAACAGCTCGAGAGTGAAGTTGCTAGAGGGCAGTTGGTTCGAAGCTCATCCCCTTGGGGCTCCGCGCCATTTCCGACCAAAGAGGCCCCTGAGCACAAGAAACAGCGGAAAAGGAGACTGGTTGTTGACTACCGTAGAGTAAATGCCCGTGTGAAGAGGTCAACCTACTATTGCAGGCAAGCAAGTGACGTGTTGGCTTGCGCTGCTGGTTCGGCTTGGTTTTCCTTCGTTGATGCGGTGACAGGGTTCAACCAAGTTGCGAACACTAGGAGAGCCATGGACGTGCTCGCCATAGTATCCAGAAGCGGGAAGTTCTTGCCTTTGTGTTTGACCTTTGGACCCACCAATGGACCCGATGACTTCTGCTACACAGTAGATCGGGCGTTTGCCCCTGGAAGGAACCGGACCCTGAGGTATGGCAAACAGTGGTTGGCCTACGTGGATGACCTTACGGTTCGTACCGGGAAATGCCTTGATCAAAGGATTCTCACTGATGTTGAGTATGATGAGGAGATCCGTGCAGCTGCAAAGAAAGCAGGGGTTCAGGTAGCCCAGAAACCCGGGAAGCTTTGGAGGCTTTGGGTTTCTCGAAAAGAGGTCTTGGGGACGAACTCCAGTCCAAACCAGAGACTGGGGAGAAAGGCAAGCATGATCCAGTGGTTTCAGATCACAATCATCCTACCCGGATGAGCTTGGTCCCATGGATTCATGCCGCTTATGCACTCCATATGGCTCGAATCAACCTGCTTGCACATGATAGGAGTTGCTTGATTAGCAGTGGAGCATGCAATTTAGGCCATTCGGGCTTTGGAGGCAGTGCTTTTGTCGAGTGGAGCATTTGTGTGACTGTGTCAGCCATGGTGGATGTCCGGGCTTTGTCCCGGCGCATGGTCAAAGCCCTGCGGCACGCGCCAGTGGGCGAAGGAGGCTGGCTCCCGGTGTCGTGGCTCGCGACCACGTACGGGTGCTCAGAAGCCGAAATTTTGGCTGCTGCCGGCCCTGAGGGGAGTCCCGGCAAGACGAGGTTCGTAACCGCGGACCTCGGGGGGACCACCTGCGTCAAAGCGTTGCAGGGCCATAGCAGTGCCACCGGAGTTTCAGTTCAGGAACTATATCCTCGAGCAGATCACGATCATTTCACTGAAACGTACGGGCCCAACAACGTGCCGGACTTGATGCTCGCGCACGGGACTTTCGGGCGACACGTTGAGAGTATCCGGAGCGGTGGTTTGTTGCCTGGTGGAGGCACTACGGATCGTCAGACGACGCATTTTGCCCTGACCACGCGAGGTGCTTTCTTGTACCCGTTGAATGTCATGCGGAGGAGTGCGGACGTTGTGCTGGTTGCATCTTTGGAGGCGATCCTTCGGAGCGGTATCACTTTGTACTGCGGAGCAGAAGGAGTTTACCTTACAGATCAAGCAGTGGATCCTGGCCAGCTTAGTGCGTGGAGCGTACTTACGGGAGGGCGCCAAGGAGATCTTCTTTTTGGGAGTGCCGATCGCGGCCTGAGTGTGCGGCCGGATAGGCAGGAATCCATCCAGAGGTTAGGGCCTCTGAACCGTAGCTTCTCGCAAAGCAGCCAGGGTGGGTTGCCGGGGCCTGGAGTTAAGCAGTACCTCAGTGCGCTTGCTGCTTACTCTGCCCGGTATCAGGGGAAGGCTCCGGCGGCTAGCACAGCTAGCTCAAAGGGGACTGCTGCTGGAGCAGTCTATGATGTGCCTGCCATTTCCCCGACAGTGGCTGAGTTCCGGGCGGAACAAGTCCGTGAGCGGGCGGGAGCCCCTAGAGCTCCGCCTGCGAGATCCGCGAAGGCGGGAGCATCAGAAGCTCCGCCCGCGAAGAAGGCGGGAGCAATTGAGGTGAGGCCAATTGCTCCGCCTGCCAGTACGGCCACGGCAACTGCCTCTGGTCGCGGGACAGATCCGCCCGCGGACTGGAAGGGGCTGATCGACAAGACGGCGCTTTTGGCTGCTGCCGTTGGTCCGGGGTTCGAAGAGCGAACTCTGAGAGAGCACGACCAGAACAAGTACAGATTCCTGTTGGCGGATCACCAATATCATCCTTATTATTTGGAGCAACGGGAACGTGCAGCTAAGGAACGCGCGGAGCGGGAATCGTCCAGAGGCTCTGCCGCGGTTCCGGAAGAAGATGATGAAGTTGCTCCGCCGCCGTTGCCGGCACCGGCGGAACCGCCGACCGGATATGTGTCTCTCGACGACGAGGAGTCCGTTGAGATCGAGGAGTCGGGAGAGGGGGAATCTGGAGGAGATGATGACAGTTTTTATCCCGACGATCGAGGTGGTGGTGGCGGCCAGCCGTTGAGGCTGAAGAGCAGGAGCCGATCAAGGAGTCGGTCCGGGCCAGTGGAACCGGTGAGAGCTGTGGTGAAACCGAAGGCCACTCCGCCATGGAGGAGACCGGGAGGAGTTTTCGGTCCGGGAGAGTCCAGGCCGGCTCCAGTGCGTCAATTTCCTTGGTCCCGCAATACGAAGAGAGTGAGTGTCATGCGGCGCTCCGATGAGGACGAAGATGATGACATTCGGCCACATCCTGAGTCGGCCGGCGCGAGCGGCCGAGGACCAGCAGGTGAACAGGTTCGGAGCACCGAGAGGCGGCATCGAGAGTCCGCGCGGGCCGAAGCTTTGGAAGAGCTTGCTGCAGGCCGCGGTTGGGACTGCCGCCAATGTGGCGGAAGGACCGTCAAAGCACGGCTGACGTGCTATAAGTGCAGCCGTGCTCGAGAGGGCACATGCGAGCAGGACAGCTCGGATGATGTCGTGACAGAGGATGAGGATGCATTTCGCCAGTTCAGTCGCAAGCCCAAAGGGCGGGCGACGGCATCCTGGCAAAGGCGACCGCAAGAAACGCAGCAGAAAGAAAGTGCGGAGGCCTGGTTTCTCGAGCCGGAAAGGCCGGAACAAGAAGGCCCATGCTGAGCATGGCAACCAATTGAACCTCGTTTATTGGGGAACCATGCTTGCCCTCATCCCTCTTGGTTACAAAGGTGTGGTCCAGATTGACAATGTTGTGGAAGATGTCATGGGGAGTGTTTCGGTCAACACGGTCCTCTTAGTCGACAAAATGGGTTCGCAGGGAGTTGCTCTTGTGGAGACTATGGGGCTGTTCCTGCGGGCTACCTTGATGAGCATGTTTGTTGTCCTCATGATGTGGTGTGGTTGGACAGTATCCCGCAAGTGTAGGAACAAAGCCATGCACCGACTTCATGGCAATATGTTTGGGGAAGGCCAGAGGACCAACAAATTCATGACAAGGACGGGTCATGTCTTTGTGACAGAGGAGTTGGTCTTGGGACGGAATGTTATGAAGTGTACCTGCAAAGCGTTCATTGACCTGGGTACGGAATGCCAGCGATGGGCCGACCAGCCGCTGACCGGCGGTGTGGCGTCGACGATAGGCGAGGATCGGGCGCCGGAGGAACCCTCCAGGCGGTCCCCATTCTTGATGAAGTGACCAGTCCGGGATTTTCGCTAAGGTCGCGTTCGGCTCCATCTAGGAGTGAATATGTCGAAGTCGGTTGCCTTCAAGGCCTAGTGAGTAAGGCTAAGGAGCTGGGTACCGGGAGTAGGAATAAGCAACCGAGAGTGGCCAGTGCGGAGCGGGATGACGCTCGCGGGCAGAGTTCAGGTTTGGTCAGGGACGATTTCTCGAGTCCGTTGGCAACTTCGGAGGGAGCCGTGTTGTATTTGCAACAGGTGCTCAACGACATTCGTAAGGAATCGAAACCCCCGGGATCGTTGCGATCTGACCACCTTTCTAGGCTTAACGCGGCTGTGTTCAATCTTTCCGGGCGAGGCGCTGTGGATGGCGCTTTGGCGCTCAAGGTCTTCCAGACCGTGGATAAGATTCACACTGCATACAACGCGGAGAAGTATGACAACTCGGATTCTGCCTTCTTCAGTAACTATTTGGCCTTGCTGGGCACCATGCAGAATCAGGTCTTCTTCAGCCAGAAGCAGAATGAGAAGTTTGTGAGCTGGATTAAGCTAGCCGTCGATGGGAGCGGCAAGCTGGTTCACTTGCTAGACAAGGCGCTGGAGACTGAGAATGAGAAGCTGCGACTGCAACTTTCCAGGCTGGAAAGATCGGATGAGCCGAGCCGAAGCAGTACTGAGCCCAGGTCCAGGGCCGGATGAAGGGTATAAGGAATTGGCCACTGCCCAGTGGAATAGGATAGGGAGCCCCCGCAATTTGAAGGATGGGGCTGTTCCCACCATTAAGGATGAGAATGCTCTGGAGTTGCATTCCCCGCCGCGGCTGGAGGCTGCAACTGGGGGCGACTGCAGATCTTGGCATTCTCATGCATGATTTTGTCATTGCAGCCATAGGCATTAGGCTTTGGTAAGTGAGCTATTTTTGCTTGAGGTTGCATGAGTGGACATGTCTTGCAAGTTGACATGTCCACCTTGAGGAAGTTGGAGTGGCGTGCCTATTTTGGCTCAAGCCACATGCGCACGGTGAATGAGTGCGCTGCCTGTGAAAACAACGAGCCGCTTCGCGGGTGTGCCAGAGAGTCGGGACACGGGTGAGACGTGGATTCTGGGTTAGTCCTTGGTTAGGATTGACGCCTCTCACACAGGCCTCCAAAACCCATTCCTGAAGAGCGCAGGCAAGATGGTAAAATACGCCGCCTACGGCACGTCCCACCTGGGCACGGGGAGTTTTGGAGATACCTGGAAGGCCTATGACATCAACCTCAGGACTGACTCCGCTCGCGGGTCTCCAAAACGATCCCACACTGATGGACAACATCCAGAGGGAAGCTTGTGTCCTACTCTCCTGAGTCTCATCCTTTGTTTTATCTGATCCTATCGTTCACCTGGTTGGAGGCTTTATCATTCAATTCGAGCCAAACAAGTTGACTCAACATATGCCATTTGAACATATGTGTGTTTCTGTGCAGCCCAGATGTGGGAGATGTGCATGGCATTGGAAGAAACGCACTATTATGGTTTTCTTTTGGTTTCCTTCCCTCAAGAAACGACACACCCTGTTAGGAAAGGTGGCTTTCTCACAATGTTTCACACACTGGTTGAGCAACCAAAGCGCGTCACTTAAAAAGGTACTCCGGCATTTCGGGTGAGAGACTCGGGTGGATTCCACCGATACACTTTTGGAGCCGCAATTTCAGTACCTGCAGCTTGCATTTAGAGGATTGCTGGCTTTAAAGGGGCTCGAGTCCCTGGAAGGTACCGAGGGTCTCAGCGTGTTCCCTCAAAAACTCATTTCACAAGCTCACGGTATTTGGTGTGCTAAGGTAGGGCAAGCTTGTAGAATTCAACCCGGTTTCTTGGAAGGGCGTTTTCTCTCGCACGGATTTGTGGGGAGAAACCTGTGTGGGTTCGCTAGGAAGTACGTGGCAGTGAAAATCTTCTATACCCGCGGCGGTGGGATGCCGCGCCTTGGCTGTGAACCCCCACTGGACGCTTGTGTGTGGCGCGATGGCGTGATGGCGAGATGGTGTGATGGTGTTTGTGTGCTTGTTTGATTGTTTGTTTGCGTGTTTGTTTGGTGTGTTTGTTTGTTCGTTCGTTTGTGTTGTGTTGTGTTGTGTTGTGTTCTGTTGTTGTGTTCTGTTGTGTTGCTTCTTTTCTTGTGACTGTTGGTTGGTTTGCTGGTGGGAGGGTAAGTATGTGGGTGAGTGGGTGGGTGTGGATTGCTTCGAACATATACCGTATACTCATGAAGTGAGCTTGCTTGTCTCCGTTGCTCCCCGGTCTTTTATTTGTTTGTGGGTCCCTCAAGGTTGATTTTCTGTGACTTTCCTTAAACAACCGAAAATGTTGGATCTCCCAAAGAAAGACACGCCGATTTGTCCCATTCAAGCCGATTGACCCTGGCCCCCGCTTCTAGGCTCCGCCAAGACCAGTTTCCCGCGGCGATGTCGATTTCGCCACGTTTTTCGCGCGAAGCAATCGACAGGGCCGCCGGCTTCCTGACACCCCACACAGTGAGGGTCATGGGCGCCAAAGTAAAGAGCATGGTGCAGGAGGCCGTGGAGGAGCCGAGCGTTTTGGGGAGGGGCGAAAGGAGAAAAATCACCGTGTTCCTGAAAAGATGGAAGCATGGCGAGCGTTTCGAATCAACGCCTTTAACTTACCAAAGGTGCTCCACCTTTTGCTCAAGCCAGTTCAGGGACACCAGAGCCGGAAAGCTGGAGGATCTCAAAACAGATTCATATCTTTATGAGATGCTCAAGGGTTGTGCATCCGAGTGACCAGGGCTTTACGTTCTGTCCAAGTAGGGCAACAACCCTTAGAGAGACCTCACAAAGGCGATGTCTCAGAAGGGCTGCCGTGACCAAAAAAAACAATGGTCGCCAACCCCTAAGCTTTGCGAGCGTTCAAGTGACCCCAAATGCAACAAGTGACTTGTCGGCCACCTGTGTCCGCTTGGCCACTTCACTTGTGCCACTTGGGCCACTTGGCCGTGGCAACTTGTTCCACTTGGTCCACTTGGTCCACTTGGTCCACTTGGTCCACTTGCTTGCGGAGCAGGTGCACCAAGTGGCCAGGTGGACCGGCCAACTTGTCAGCCGCTTGCGTTTCCAAGACCAAGTGGCCCAAGCCAGTGGCCGCTTGCTCCCTGAGGTGTACCAAGTGCTCTGTTCAGGTATGTCCTACCCACTGAACAGCGGACAGTGTGCCCGCCCGCAAGCAGGACCAAGTGGCCAAGTGGACCAAGTGCAAGAAGTGGACCAAGAGGGCAAGTGAACAACGGACGCGAGATATCTCCTTGTGGTTAGATAGGTAGATAGAAAGCAAGAACGATAGACGGATTCACAGATAGTACCGAGATAGATGGCTAGATAGATGGAGAGAGAGATAGATAGATAGATCGATCGATCGATAGATAGATAGATAGATGGAGAGAGAGAGAGAGAGTATAGGAGATGGACATTATTTAGGTAGACAGACAGATAGAGACAGAGATAGAGATAGATAGATAGAGGGAGAGAGCGAGAGAGAGAGAGAGACAGAATAGTTCTACAGATTCAGATAGAGAGAGATAGTAGCACAGAAACTAATTTAAGGGTAGCTTGCGCAGATAGATAGCTTCCGAAGATTAGACAGTGCGTGCGAAAAGATAGCTCTTGCAGATAGCTTCTGTAAGAAGATCAGACGGCCCGTGTGAAAAGATAGCGTATGCAAGAAAGGATGAATGCATGCGAGAAAGCATGCATGGGTCCACGTCGGTGTCAACCACCTCTGTCTCGACGCCTCTCTGGCGAGGTCTCGGCGCGGATTCGGCGAATGTTGTGGCAACGCAAAGGATTCGAAAGGTTTGGATGCGTGGCAGGCGCAGCACTTTCGCAAGGTCAGGTGTAGATGTCGAGGCGCCAATTTCGCAAGGCCAGGTAGGCGCGGAACTTTGGCAAGGTCAAGCGCAGCTTTCGTGGCAGGCGCAGCACTTTCGCTACGTCAGGTGTAGATTTCGTGGCAGGCGCAGCGCTTTCGCGAGACAAAGCACAGGTTTCCTGGCAGGCGCAGCGCTTTCGCAAAGTCAGGTGTAGATTACTAGGCAGGCGCAGCAATTTCGCAAGGCCAGGTAGGCGCGGAACTTGAGGAAGGTCAAGTGCAGCTTTCGTGGCAGGCGCAGCGCTTTCGCAACGTCAAGTGTAGATTTTGTGGCAGGCGCAGCACTTTCGCAAGGTCAGGTACAGATGCGAGCGCAGCGCTTTCGCAAGGCACACAAAGATGTTGTGGCAGGCGCAGTGCTTTCACAAGGGGCAAAGAGAAAGAGAAAGACAGAAAACGAGAGAGAAAGAGAAAGCGACAGAGAAAGAGAGTTAAAGAGAAACATAAAGAGCAAAGACAAAGAGAAAGAGAAAGAGAAGAGGAAGAGACGCACAAAAGACGTTAAATTCTGACTGTTGTTTACTACAAGTGCAAGTGCTGCAATGTTGTTAAAACAAACAAACCTGTAGTCTGCACAGCTCCTATTTTGCATGGGCTCTTGACGTAGTTAAAAGCTCAGGGCCTGCGGCCATGTACAAGCTATGTAGTACAACACCGGCTGTACAGTAACAGGGTCCCTCACTTAAAAGATCTTGTAGTATCTTTTCAACTGAGGTGGAAATGTCAGTATTGACAGTAGTGATGAACACAGATGTGGTTCATCAATGCTACGGTAGTTCAAAGGAAAATCAGCAGCTCTCGCTGTTCAGGATTCAGTCTCTGATGTAGTCGGACTGAACGGAGTTCGTGAGGTAGCGCCTGATGTTGTAGTCCAGCGTGTAGTTTCATGCGTGCTTGCGCCAGTAGTCCCGTTGGGACTGGCGAAGATCTTGTAGTGCTTGAACCGTGTTGGGTTCGCTCATGTAGTTCAGGATTTCCCGACAACAAGCAGTGACCGTAGTATTCTGTAGTCTTTGTGAGAATGCAACGTGTAGCACGTTCGACCGTGCTGTCGTCAAGTAGCTGTTGGGTGTTGAAGCCCCAAATGTAGCCGTTGGACACGGTGCAGTGCAGGGTGAAGTCATTGAAGTTGTAGTTGACTAGTGAAGCTCCCTGGTAGTTCAAGCGAAGGGTGTAGTTGCTTTGAATGGAAGTTGAGTGGCTGGTGTAGTTTCGGACAATAGTTCTCTTTTGAGTAGTTGTTGGGCGTAGTCTGTAGGAAGTGAGATTGTGACGAGGATGTAGTCGTTGATGTGGTTGGTTGAGGTGTGTAGTTCTGTCAAACTGTAGTAGTGCCACAGATGAGCATCTGCAGCAGAATGCATCATCTGTAGTCGGTTGGCTGGTTCGTGGAGTTTGCCTAGAGTGAAGTGGTAGGAATGGTGTAGCAGGTTCCGCCGTGACTGGGTTGTAGAAGAGGTTGACTGTAGTGGCATCATCTTGTCCTGAAGTGAGAAAGCAGCAGTTCTCAACTGTCAGGGGAGTGTAGAACTTGGTGTATTGTGGTGAAGTGGGTAGTGCAGGCATGGTCCATGGTAGGATGGTCTGGTTGATGTGTAGGTTGAAGTCGCTCGAGTTGTAGATGTCCTGTACGTTGAGTGGCAGTGGTGCTGCAGTGGTCTGTAGTCGTTGGTCATCACACGCCTGTAGTTGGGCAAAGTTGTGAACTTGTAGTTGGACAGGTGTAGTCGTCTCGGGTGTAGACGACACGCCAGCCTCGTCCTCAGGGATTGTAGTCACGGAGCGGTCCAATGGCTGGAGTCCTAAAAATGAAGTGAAAATGGAGTGCCTAAAATGAGCCTGTAGTCGCCAACAGGAAGCAGGCAGACATGCAAAAAACAACAAACATGTAGTGTTGACTGAAGCCGCCAAGCATGCCGCGAAAAGTGCAAGTGACATTACATGTAGTTACCTGCGTACCAAATGTGACACGTTACATGTAGTTGCTTCACACAAAATGTTTGAAGTCGTTGTTGTTGTTGTTGTTGCTGCTTGTGAAACAGTTGTGCTGGTCGTTCGTAGTGCTAAATGCATATCCCAATGCTCTTTAGGAGAGTGGGTCTTGTTTCCTTGTTGATTTGTGTGGTAAACAAATCTGCGCTGTTGTGAAGTGTGTTGATCTTGAGGATTCTGCTGATGTCGGTTTGATGAGGTCTTTCTTGTGTGGAGAGGAGTTTGAGGTCGATGTGCTTCGCTCGTTTGCTTCTGCCTTGTCGTGTAGCAATGCTTTTGCCTGCTGTGGAGTGTGTGTGTGAGTTTTTCCGATGCATTTCTGCATTGGTAGGTCTGCTTTTGGAAGTTTCCTGTGTTGTGGTGGAAGGTAAAGTAATGCTTTGCCAAATTCGCAAATTGCTCGCTCGCAGTTTCTTCCCCAGCGGTGTGTGTAGCCGCAGCGATTTTCCGTCCATGCTGCATGTCGTACTCTCCAAGGTAGTAGACAGTGCTTTGTGGACATTGTCACGCTGTAGTTGCTTTCGACTTGTGCTTTGACAATGTGGTCGCTCAACGCTTCCTTGACTGTTGCTGCTGTAGGAAGGTGCACGGTGCATGTCGAACAGTCATTGAACCATCTTTGGCTTCTGTAGATCTTAGAAGCGCGTTGGGTGTGTCCTCGTTGTCGCTTTGTAGTATGCCTTGTGTTCTTCCGCACTCAAAGATGAATGCTTGTAGGTTGTTGACCATGTAGTCCGTCATTGATTTGTCCGGAATTATTGGCGTCATACACAGTTGTGTAGTAACATCAACTGAGCAGCGTTTTTTCTCAGATGATGGCTTTTAGCTTCGCGGGGAACTCCCAAAAGGTCCGCGAAGGCGCTTGTGTGATACATTGTGTGCCGCGAAGCCCCGCGAAGCCAATTTGCCAAGCCCGGCAACATTCACACAGGCGAAGCCACTTTGCGAAGCCACTTCGTGGTTGCAGCGTGTTCTGTGCGATCTGTGTTGTGTGCTTTCATGGCAGTAGCATGACTACAGGAAGATTACAGGAAGACGACCGGAAGAGCGCTGTGCGTTTCAGGCCCGGTTTTGCGAGAAACGATGGAACGTTTTCGCGAAGCCTGCGCGAAGCCCCCGCAAAGCCTCCGCGAAGCCACCGCGGTCCAACTTCCACGCTCCGCCCCTTTGGGGCCCAGCCATGTCCCCTAGTCCTGAAGCCCAATTTTTTGCTTACCGCCTTCGTCGCCCCCTTTCGCATGGACTTAACATGATTCAACTGCATGAGAGCGCAAACGTCAGGGATGTTTGTGGAACAAGCATCCGCGAAGCCCGGCGAAGCCACTCCGCAAAGCCACAGTCTTGCCGCGAAGCCTCGTTCCACGAAATTTGGCCCCGCGAAGCCCCCCGCGTAGCCTCCCTATAAGCCCTGAGCCTCTAAAACAAACAATGCTCAACTGCCGTGACCGACTGGTAGGCAAAATCTACTTGAGTGATGGGGTGTCGTGATTGTTGTTTCTCGTAGTTGTTTTGGCGGCCTTTGCCTTGCGCGCAAATTGGACACCAATTTCTGCATGGTAGGTTTGTCAAGTCGCGTTGCTATTTGTTGTGGGGTTGGCTGCTGCGGTTGTCGTTGTCCTCTGGCTCTGTGTGCTTCATGGTGCTCGTGTTGTCGCTCCTCGTCGTAGTTCCCCTGGATGTATTCGTAGTCTTTCTTTATGGTGAACCTTGTTGTGCCTTTCCATTGGGATGGTAGTGCTGCACTGACTATGACTGTCTATTCATCTTTGCATTGCGAAACTTCTCCAAAGTTGTTGTTGGTTGATTGTAGTTCTGTGAGGTTCGATTGTGTTGATTGGTGGACCAGGAGTGAGCAATGCCTCTCTGGCTATCTATCGATCCATCTCTGTCTCACACACTCCATCTACCTTTCTATCTATCTGTCTATCTCTCTCCCTATCTGTGTAACCTCTATCTATAGGAGTGCCCCCCTCTGTCTGGTTTCTCTCTATCTAGAAATCCAGCACTCTCTCTCTCTCTCTCTCTCTCTCTCTCTCTCTCTCTCTCTCTCTCTCTCTCTCTCTCTCTCTCTCTCTCTCTCTCTCCGTCTGACAACCTAGCCAGCTACCTAGCTCTAGCCTTTCTACCTGTCTATCAATGTCTCTCGCTATCTGTGTCTCCGTCTATCTACACAACTATCTCTCTCTGTCTATCTACTGCCATCTATGTACCTATCTCTCAAAATATTCCCCCCTCTGAATGTGCATGTATGTAGATAGCTCGCTCGCTCTCTCTCTCTCTCTCTCTCTCTCTCTCTCTCTCTCTCTCTCTCTCTCTCTCTCTCTCTCTCTCTCTCTCTCTCTCTTTCTCTCTGTCTCCATCTGCCTATCTATCTCTATCTGTCTCTCTATCTGCCTTACCTATCTATCTATTGGTCACCATTCTCTAAGTAGTTCTCTCTCTCCATCTCGAACATAGAGCCGGCGAAGCCAGATTCAGAAGAAAGATCACACCTACACGCAGAGCAACAACAAAGACCACACGAATAAGACAGAGTTCACAACCACAACAACTAATGGAGACACCACCAACAAAGCCAAAGATGCAACTACGAGCTCTACAAAAGATATGCTACATACCTTCATACCACACAACCAAAGGAAAACCATACACAGACCACTCGCAGCACAGGGAGACAACCAAGACTGCTGGGAAAGACAAGGTGAACACTGGATAAGGCACCACATGTCACTTAGAACTACAGAGATGCGGAGAGCGACAAAGATGATAAGACAGCCGGCAAAAAAGTTATGTAGATAGAGAGGGGGTGGTTGCATAGGTAGAGAGAGGGGCGGTTATGCAGATTGAGAGAGAGAGAGAAGTTATACAGAAAGAGAGGGGAAGATTGGTTGATGAAAGGTAGAGAAAGAGATGTAGTGTGTTCAGAAAACAAGCAAGATGGAGAGAGGGGTGGATGGATAGGTCGACAGATAGATATAGCTAGATGGGTACATAGGTAGATAGATCGGGGAGACAGAGAGAGGGAGAGAGAGAGAGAGAGAGAGAGAGAGAGAAGGAGGTAGACGGATAGGAAGATAAGAGATAGAAAAATAGGTTACTATTCAGATAGAGAGAGATTGTTTGATTGTCGGATAGATGGATAGGTAAAAAGATAGGTAGACACATTGAAAGATAGACCGCAGAGGGAGGTAGTTGTAGAGATAGGAAGAGAGCGGTAAAGAGAAAGATCGAGCTGAGTTGGTTATATATAGAGAGAGAGAGATGGTTTTCTAGATAGAGAGACAAAAATAAACACGAAGATAGGAAGAAGAGTAGAGAGGGAGAGAGAGTGAGGTAGATACATACTACGGAGATAGATAGACGGATAGGTAGACAGAGAGAGAGAGAGAGAGAGAGAGTTGCAGGGTATCTAGATTGAGGGGAAGATAAAAAGACAGACCGAGAGGGAGATGGAGTTCGAGAGAGAGTGGGATGGTTATGCAGAGAGATAGTTACATAGATATGAACTGGGGGAGATGGAAAGGGAGAGAGAGATAGGTAGGCAGACAGATAGACAGATAGAAGGAGAGTGGACAAGTGGACAAGGAGCCACGGCCAGTTGTCCAATGGCCCTACAAGACCCAGTGGCTAAGTCGACCAAACAGACCAAGTGGACAAGTGGGTTAAGTGGCCACGGCCACTTGCCCACAGGCTTGCTGCCTCGGCGGTCAAGTGGGCTAAGCGGAGTAAGCGAGCGATCGGACCAGTGAATCAAGTGGACCAGCCGTTTAATTCAGGTTCGTCGGCTCAGCGGACCCCTCGACCAGCGGGCGGGCGATGCCTGTCGCAACGTTCGCGGTTCATCGCAGCTCCATTACGGGGCCAATTAATTATGTAGCTATGTGCTCATCTCTGCGTTGTTGCGGCCAAGCAGGCCAAGTGTCCGCAAGCCACGTGTCCACTTGCCCCGCAAGCAAGTGGGCCAAGTGGCTAAGTGGACCAAGTTGCCGAAGCCTTGCCCACTTGTTGGTCAGCGGTAAGGGCCGGATATCCAGGAAATCAGTTTCCGCCCTGCAGATTGCCACGGACTGTTCCTAAGGCGACTTTTTGGGTTGGTTGATTTCGCTGCGTTTTCTGCGGCTGGGCATTCGAGCTCACGGCTCTGCCTTCACGAGGAGTGCACGGCGGTGAAGACAATGGTGCGGGGCGAGCACGGCATCGGACCCCAGCGCCTGTGCCAATGCTTTGAGGAGCGCCTGTGCCAGTGAAAAAACGGCAATGTTGACCCCATGTTCGTGAACCCCCAGTTTTAAGTCACACCCATATGTGTCCTAAAACAACAATAGAGGCCCTATCAAATCACACCCGTACGGAAAATATGTTCCCAATGTAGGGCCCCCCCCCTTATTAACAAACTGGGGTTGATCAATTTGGGGTCAACATTAAGGGGGGAAGTTCAGGGTCAGGAAAACGGCTAGCATGCTTGGGCGCTCTGTCGTTTGTTTCCGAATCTTGGGTTTGATCTTCAGCCAGGGTTTTCAGGAAATGTGTCCACATGGGGAGAAAATATGGAATGTGGGGTGACACCACGCGAAAACTCTTAAAACACCTCCGCCAATCAGACAATATGCCATCGGCTGGGCAGTCCAGTCCAACACACATAAACACCTTTGCGATAGCGACAACTTTGGTATCCTCGATGATGTGGCCTCTGGAAAGAATATTTATTCTCTGGCAAAGTGGGGTCACACGACCTTCAGCAATCTGATGAGATTGCCTATCAACAAAGTGGCAATCACATGGGAACACGGGGCCAAAGATTGGGTGGCTAATGCGGAAACAACTGGCAGAACACAATCAAGGCGAGTCCTATCTACTATTTTTTTGATTCTGTTTATTTTTGTCTGGCCCAACATGGGCACCAAGGAAGGGGCTAATGTGTTTAGATCTAGTACGACCGGCGTCTAGACTTCTGAATACCGGTGCTAATAATATTCATCCTAGATCCAGGATCGTTGGGTTTTAAAACAAAACTGGTATTTCAATATCAGGGGCGAAATCATGGATCCAATATTTCCCTCAACAGACCCCCAACAATCTTGGATCTTGGATCCAGAGTCCAAGTACTGGTATTTAAAAATCTTATACGGTATTCAGAAATCTAAATACCCTTACTCAGATTTCAGGGGAGGTAGTCATGGTCCCCCAAAAGTCCCGTGGAAACACTGCATTCTGGATCGAAACACTGTATTGCGAAGTTTAGATTCAGCAGCCCAAATTTCAGGGGCAAGTTGACGTAAGTTTCACAACAATTTGCATGAGCAAGCTTCAATGTTGAATATCCTTAGTTTTCTCTGTTGTCAGGATTCTAGACAAATCAGTCCTGGGGAATTGTGAGTTTTGAATCTTGGAAGATGCTTACCTTTTTGTTGCAGGGATACCCAAATTTCCTTTGTTTGCCCCGTTAATTTCCCGGTCCTGCATCTTCATTTGAGCAAAAAAGTGCGCACAACGGAAAAGTGCGCGATTCAATCTAAAAACACGCAAAGTTCCAAGAGCTGCGCGAAGCGTTTTTTTGCTGGTTTGGGCAAAGGTGCGGGGTGTGTATAGCCTGGACATGCACCTGCCGAGCTGTTCAAAAATAACCAGGCAAGGACACATGCACCTTTTCGGCCAGAACTCGCCTAGATGATCCAAGGAACCAAAGGGCATTTTGGCTATTCAACTGCGGAGCGTTGTCGGGAATAGCCTTCAACATTGCCAAGCCAGCTTGACAGTCAAGGGAAACAAGTTTCAGATCCTTGAGATTGCAAGAGATCCGAACGGCTCTTCCAAGTGGCGCAGCTTCAACTGACAACCACATGTGGCTCAAAACGGATCTTTTGGTTGGCAATTCGGGCGCTTTAGACAAGGTCGAAGACGCGCGCATGCATGCGCACACTTTTCGTATTTGCGTGCAATTGCGGATGTTTGCGCGATAGTGCCGGATTTTTGCGCGCAAATTGCGGGCTGGCAAGGCGCCGAAAATCGACTAATGTCACCTATAGGCGAGTTGTCTCAACAACAAGTGTGGCGCAAGCACAGTTCTGGAGCAAAGAGCGGATCCGTGCAAACCCAGGCAATACTTGCGAGCTTGGAGCTATTGACGAGGCCAAGCGGGTTGCTAAATCAATGGCCACAAAGTAACAAGTACAAGTGATAGCTGGTACTTGTGCCGGGTGCCATGCCACAAATTTCCTGCCTAAAACAGGCTTGGGTGGAGATAAAAGAAGAGCTAGATATGCTGTAAACATCAAGGACTTCAACAAACAGCTGCGCCGGCACGGGCACGAGCAGCGCAGTATCGATTGTTTCCACAAGTAGTACCGACCTTGGCTACCAGAGGAGTTTCATCCGAAAAGTGCGCAAATCCCTCAAAAGTGCGCAAATTTTAAAAAAGCGCGCAAAGACACCACAAAACGCGCAATCAAGCATTTGAGCAGAGAAAAGGGCGCAAACGAAGATTCAGGGTTGTCTACATCTTGCTTTGAACGGTTGTTTTCTCTTGTTATTGTCACGGGCCGCTTTTTGTTCAAGACCAGAGTAAACTGGCTTCAGACACTACACTATAGTCAAAATTTCAGGAGTCAAGATTTTGGAGGTACCCAAGTTTTATGTGCTGCCCAAAAGACGCAGCTAATTTGAAGTGCGGACACAATCTTGCAACAGAGCAAACTATGTTTTCTGGCCACCTGCGTTCTAGTTGTTTTTGTGCAAGCTGTACCTAATTTACTTTTTCTTGTGTGGGCCCAGTTTCTATGAATTCCAGAAGCTTCCAGCATGTATATATATATATATACATGTTGATGCAACTTGGCTTGGAATGTTTGTTTTGGAATTGCTCTATGTCCAAAGCTAGATGACATGTACATGATGGACTGCAATCCTGCGTGTCTTTGATTAAGTCTGCTGCTCACATATTTTAACGCCTCCGGCTCAGACCACCCCTAGGATCTATTCCCCTTCGCCCCCCCTTCCCCCCCCTAAGATCTTTTCCCCCGTTTCCCCAAAAAAACTTTCCTCCGTTGCCCTTAGATCTTCCCCCCCATTTCCCCCCAAGATCTTTCCCCCTCTAAGATCTGTTCCCCTCTTTTCCCTTAAGATCTTTGACCCTTTGTGCCCATTTCTTCAGGCGGGAGAGGGGGGAAATGAGGGAAAAGATGTTAGGGGGAAGGAGGGAAGGGGGGGGGGGGGGCGTGAGGGGGAACAGATCTTAGGGGGGAAAGTGGGTCAACAGATCTTAGGAGAGGAAAGGGGGGAAATGATCTTAGGGAGGGAAAGGGGGGAAACGAGCTTTGGGGTGAAAGGGGGTCTTAGGAGAGGAAAGGGGGGAAAAGATCTTAGTGGGGAAAAAATAGGAACATATCTTAGGGGGGAAAGGGGGGAAAAGATCTTAGGGAGGGAAAGGGGGAAAGATCTTAGGTGGGAACGATGGAAAGATCTTGGGCGGGGGTGAGGAGGGGGGAACAGATCTTAGGGGGGGAAATGGGGGGACAGATCTTAGGGGGGAAAGTTTGGACAAGATCTTGGTGGGGGGGAGGTAAGCCATTAAGATGTTCAGACTTTAAGCTATTAGGATTTTAACACGATAAGCCCCTCAGATTTTCAGATTTTAAGCCCCTTCACTCATTTCCACTCAGTTCTTTCCTTCACTTTCCTTCAGAAGAAACGTCGTGTGGTACGTAACCGTGCCCTCGGAAGGGGTAACGGGAGGGCATATTTTATGCCCAACGCGCCGCTTGTTGTTGTCGGCGGAGTTTAAGCACTACAGCCTACAGCCTGTGCCAGCGGGTCAAAACCGCCCGTAGGCACTGGCGCAATGGTAACTTAACGTTCACGCCGCGCTGCCTTCGTCAGAGATGAAAGTGTGCTGGCACAATGGTAACATTCACGCCACGCTGCGTTCATCAGAGATGTAAACGCGCTGGCACAATTGTAACGTTCACGCCACGCTGCGTTCGTCAGAGATGTAACCGTGTCGGCGCAATGGTAACGTTCACGCCACGCTGCGTTCGTCAGAGATGTAAACTTGCTGGCACAATTGGAAACTCACGCCACCAACATTCGTCGGAGATGTAAGCGATCTGGCACACTGTTAACGTGCATGCCACGCTGCGCTCGTGCTGGCACAATGGTATTGTTCACGCCGCGCTGCCTCCGTCGGAGATGTAAACGTGCTGGCGCAATGGTAATGCGCATGCCACGCTGCGTTCGTCGGAGATGTAAACGTGCTGGCACATTAATGGTAACGTAACGTTCTCGCCACGTCAGAGATGTAAACGTGCTGGCGCAATGGTGACGTTCACGCCACGCTGCGTTCGTCAGAGATGCACACGTGCTGGCATAACGGTAGCGTTCAGGCCGTGCTGCTTTGCTTAGAGATGTAAACGTACTGGCACAGTGGTAACGTTCACGCCACGCTGCATTCGTCAGAGATGTAACCGTGTCGGCGCAATGGTAACGTTCACGCCACGCTGCGTTCGTCAGAGATGTAAACGTGCTGGTGCAATGGGAAATTCACGCCACCTGCATTCGTCGGAGATGTAAGCGATCTGGCACACTGTTACCGTGCATGCCACGCTGCGCTCGTGCTGGCACAATGGTATTGTTCACGCCGCGCTGCCTCCGTCGGAGATGTAAACGTGCTGGCGCAATGGTAATGCGCATGCCACGCTGCGTTCGTCGGAGATGTAAACGTGCTGGCACAATGGTAACGTAACGTTCACGCCACGCTGCTTTCGTCAGAGATGCAATCACGCTGGCGCAATGGTGACGTTCACGCCGCGCTGCGTTCGTCAGGCCGTGCTGCTTTGGTTAGAGATGTAAACGTACTGGCACAGTGGTAACGTTCACTCCACCTGTGTTCGTCAGAGATTAACATTCACGTCACGCTGCGTTCCTCAGAGATGTGTCCTGGCACAATGGTAACGTCACGCCTTGCTGGGGTCGTCAGAGATGTAAACGTGGTGGCTAGACAGTCCACAAACAGACAGTTTGCATTTGAAGGTCTCAAAACAGACGCGTTTTCAGAGGTGTAAAAGATGGGCTGTCTGTGGGAACACCATGAATAGTGTGTAGTGTGTGATTCTCGCATTCCTCAAAAACATGGAGTGGAAGGCGCATCGTGCTGAGCACTGCTAGTAATTTACAGGGTTTTTGACTACTTGCTGATCAGGCCGCCACGGGCGGTTTCCGACCCGGCGGAATATTCATGTATATATGTATATATGTATATGTATATATATATATATATACATGGGACTCGCTTTGGTTGGCCTTGCTTTTCCTAGCGCAAGTAGCACACTCAAAATCGGCAACCACGTGGACAAGTGGAGCAGTAATCTGTGGCTAACATGCTCAGTGTGGAGTGCAACTTTCAAGCTGACAATGCTCCAGTGGGCCGACTAAATCCGATGGTCCCACTGGATTTCTCAGCTGGGCCAGAGTCTTTATTCCCATGGCCTGCTTATCCCGCGCCCGACGCTAGAGGCCACTTTTTCGGGGCAAGGGGATACATCACACCCCTTAAACCAGCGCACTTGAGACGAAAGAACCGCCTTCCAGCACGCCATTCGCAATTTAGCGGAGCCAAACTCATTGCTGGGGCAAAGGGGGGGGCGGAAACCTTGCAAGCTCTTATGAGGCAAAAATATCCAGCAAGGATACGTCCGGCTTGGATCCCAAACGAAGAAGTCAATGGTCTCCTCCTTGACTATCTCCCAACACGGTATAGTAAAGTCAGTTTTTCCCTTGAAATTGCCCTTTGAACGGAAAACAGCGTTCGAGTTTCTTGTTTGGTGGACGCGCAAAGTTCCTGCCGCGTTTTGTTTGGGGTTTACGCCCTATTTTTGCTGGGTAAAACCAGTTATCCCGAAAGACGGTTTTGAAACATCACCTTTGGCTTGCCAGTTTAAAACGAGTTGTCCTTTTGATATTTCAAGAGGGCAGAGGAGCTTTCCTAAGCAGGAGTTTGGTGAAAGCTCTGAGCCGCGCAAAGGTGTCTGCAATTGTACAATGGAACATAGAAAATGAAGACAAATGTAGAAGGCAATGTATACAACATGCATGATGAGTTATGTACAACTTTATGGCTATGCAACGTGCGGAGGAATGGAGATAATGGATAGATGAGATGGATCCAAGGCACAGATATATGAAAGTATGTGTCGAGGTGCCAAGGTGGTGATCGATTTCTGTACCTAAGATCTAGCTGAAGCGCCGGGAAAGTGCACCTGGATGGCGTGCAAAGATGAACATTATATGAATTCCAGAAATGGCATGCGCAGACACTTTCAAAATTATCGAGCAGTAAGATGGCCGACTATTTCAGTACCCGGGATTAATCTGAATTGCCGGCAGAGGTTTTACATTCCTGGAGGTTGTGCATAATTTCCGTTTGTGATATAATTTGTCTGCCCAGATCAGATAGGCGAGCCTTTCAACAAACGCCAACTTCCAAAACTAACTTAGCTGGTTCTAGTTGTTCCTCTACCTGTGCCCTCAAAGCGTAAAGGAACGGGAAATCGCTTCCCATGTTCATAGTTGTCGTACCTTTTCAGGCCACAGTGTCAACTTTTCCACTCATGTTCATATTTGTCGTACCTTTTCCGGTTTACAGTCGAACATTTTGCCACTCGGCCTTTTCAGGACCACGTGAACGACGCCAGTGAGCACGAGCCCATCTTCCTGGTCCTCGAGCTCTGCGGCAAGAGCCTCACCGAGAAGCTCCGATCCCGCACCGCCACCTGGGCCTGGCGCAAGCCACTCGTCCACTGGGCATAAGCGATCGAGCGACCCGCGGTGTGGGACGGACGGTTCTGGAGGTATCGCGGAGCTCGGTGGTTTTCTGTGTCTTCCATTTGCTGAACGTTCTTTGTTTTTTGTTTTGTTTTTTTTAGTATTAAATAAAGATATTAAAATCGAAAAAAATGTTGTTTGTTAATTGGAATCGATTTCACTGCTGGAATATTTTCTCACTTTTCCTGGGGGCTTAAACAAATGGACGGTGTGTATGTTTTGCCAGCAAAACTGGCGAGTTTCTGGACTTTTGACTGCTGGCGAAGACCAGTTTACTGGGGTCCACTTCTACTTTAGAACTATGTTTAACTTTAGGGTAGACTAAACATGACACAACATCTGAACATGCTGTGTTCTCCGTGCTCCAGATGTAGGCCAGATTTGAATGGCAAACAACAAGCTATTTTGGGCCACTCAGCCTTAAACCAGGTTAAAGCAGCAGGGAAACTACGGCTTGCCTGTTCTGATTCTTTGTTGGGAGCCCCGAAAAGGCTTCCTTGATACTTTTGAGCCAATCATTCCCAGAGGTCCCTTGCTGCTTGGATTCTTCCGGGCTTTGAACCATGTTTGCTTGTCAAGTCCATTGACGGACTTTATCCCCTTAGTGATTTCTTACAGCGACAGACCAATGAGCTTATACTTGTCAGTTGCCTCAAAAGGAATCCAGAAGTGGATGTGATCAATTCTTGTTCAGACCCCCTGTTTATCACCCAGGCACTAGGGGGGTCCCCCGAAATAGATCTGAAAGGAAGCCACTTATCCACTTAGCCGCTCTTAAGAGTGGCTAAGTGGCTAAGTGGCTTCCCGGTGGTTAAGTGGCTGGCTCTAAGTGGCTGAGTGGCTTCCTGGTGGTTGAGTGGCTTCCTGGTGGTTGAGTGGCTGAGTGGCTGAGTGGTTGGGTTGCTTCCCACTGGCTGAGTGGCTGGGTGGCTGCGTGGCAAAAGTGACCCAGCTCGACCAGGTGCGACTGCGACAGTTGCACCTGGCCGCGCCCCCTCAAAAAGAATCGCCAGAAAACACATCATTTTACTGTATGTCTGGCCTCTTCTGCTTTCTTCGGCAAAAAATGAGGTCTCGGACCCAAAGAGCGTTCCAACGGCAATTTCCAAGTAAGGAATGTAAACAGCAGAAATCAATGCTGTAATGGTTTTGAGGTGGTGCTAAAGGCTTCTCCGTAGTATCCACACGCAGGAACAGGGGCCCCTACTACAAAATCAATGTCTAAAAAGCTTGATTACAGCACCAGTGTAGATGGCGCGACTCCTGCCCGAAGTAGAGGGAATGGCGCCGGCTGCGCAATGGCTAGGTTGCTGAGTGGCAAAGTAACAAAGTGGCTTCCCACTGGCTGAGTGGCTAAGTGGCTGGGTGGCTGAGTGGCTGATTCTCGGCAGTCCCCTCACTCCCCCTGTTTTCAGGGATAGGCATCAACAAAAACTTATTAGGCATCAAAGAAACTTATCAGGCATCAACAAAAACTTATTAGGCATCAAAGAAACTTATCAGGCATCAACAAAAACTTATTAGGCATCAAAAAACTTATGCTCATTCCTATGGGGGGAAGGAAGGAAGGAAGGAAGGAAAGAAGGAAAGGGAAGGAAAGGAAAGGAAAGGAAAGGAAAGGAAGGAAGCCCCCCCCCCAACCACCCCGGAAGGAAGGAAGGAAGGAAGGAAGGAAGGAAGGAAGGAAGGAAGGAAGGAAGGAAGGAAGGAAGGAAGGAAGGAAGGACCCCCCCAACCACCCCGATTTGTAGAAGGTTGACAGTGATTAACGCACCCTTTGCTGAATCATCACTTCTTCGAGCATTGTGGGGCGGCCCAACCCCCCCGCTGATTTTCAGAATGTTTGCAGAGATTACCGCACCCTTTGCTGAATCATCACTTCTTCGATCATCACCACCCTCTGTTGAATCATCACTTCTTCGAACATCATGGGGGGGGCTGCCGCCCCCCCCTCCCCCAACCCCCCCCCCGTTTAATGCTGCACCTGCACCGTACATTGCGAAAGTGCTGCGCCTGCCGCGAAATTGGCACCTCTTGCGAAAGAGCTGCGCCTGCCGCGAAATCTGGACCGCACCCTGCGAAAGTATGGCCCCTGCCGCGAAGCCGTACCTGACCTTGCTAAAGTGCTGCGCCTGCCGCGAAATTGGCACCTCTTGCGAAAGTGCTGCGCCTGCCGCGAAATCTGGACCGCACCTTGCGAAAGCATTGCACCTGCCGCGAATCTGTCCCTGACCTTGCTAAAGTGCTGCGCCTGCTGCGAAATCTGTACCTGACCTTCCGAAAGTATTGTGCCTGCCACGAAATCTGGACCGCACCTTGCGAAAGTGCTGCGCCTGCCGCGAAATCTGTACCGCACCTTGCGAAAGCGTTGCGCCTGCCGCGAAATCTGTACCTGACCTGCGAAAGCATTGCGCCTACCTTGCGAAAGTGCCGCACGTGCCACGAAATCTGTACCTGACCTTGCGAAAGTGCGAAATGAATAAGTTTTTTTGATCCTCTGGTTTTTCATTTTTAATAGTAAATCAATGAGAATAAGATTTTGTTTGATCCCTAATAAGGATCTTTAGAAATAAGTCTTTTTTGATGCCTAAAAGTTTTGATCCCTCACCCCTGTTTTCATTTCTTTCCCTTCACGTCCCTTTCAATTCGGTGGCTGACTGGCTCTAAGTGGCTGAGTGGCTTCCTGGTGGTTGAGTGGCTGAGCAGCTGAGTGGCTGGGTTGCTTCTTCCTGGGTGGGTGGCTGGGTGGCTGTGTGGCTAAGTTGCTTCCCACTGGCTGAGAGTCTTGGTCGCCTTGTTAGGATACATCTGCTTGTAGGCAAGCTCGCGAGACAAGAGCGACTCAAGCCATTGGAGGCAGGCGGCTCTGCCCTTTTGGCTCCAAGCTTGCGAAGGAAAGTTGAGGATCAGCGCCTTCGAGGATTTCTTTCATGGTCTTGGGTTAAGTTAAAAGTCTCAACGATTCTCTTTGGGCCTGGCTCCCAGCGAGAAAAGCGCCTCGCGTGGCTACTAGCCATTTATCCACTCCACCACTCAGCCACTCGGTCTCCCAGCTACTTAGCCACTCCACCACTCAACCACTAAGCCACCCCGCCACAAAGCCGCTTAGCCACAACCGCCCAGTCTTAGCCGCTTAGCCCAGCCAGTCGGCCACTTATTCACTTGGCTACTTACACTTAGCCACTTATCCACTTAGCCACTAAGCTTTTTGGGTCCGGAAAGGGGAGACCTCATTTGCCGAAGAAAGCAGAAGAGGCCAGACCACAACAGTTAGAACAGACCTTGCCCGTCTTTCAACCGTATATTTCAACCGCACAAACTCCATAACTCCATCCTAAATCACCGCCGATAACTTGCCACCTTAATCATTCTTACCCCTTCACATTTATTCTTATTCATTTTGGTCAAATAATGACGTTTATGAATTACAATATTCATAAAATTCATTGTTTTTCAAAAGGGGCTACTACCTAAATTATAGGAATGATGCAGGTGGCAAGTTATGAAACAAGTTTTGGGGGAAAAGCTATAGCGGAAAGACGGGCAAGGTTAGATAGATAGAGTATAAAGTATAGTCTACCCATCATCATTTACCACTACAATTGCGCTGCTTACAAAAAGGTATGATATTATCTAATGTATGTGTGTATTCATTATCTTTGCGTTGTGCTGTTAGATTTGTTATGAGATTACCGTGTTTCAGATCAATAGTAAGACCACACCCACAGCAATTACATTGATTATCTAGATTGTCTAAAAGCCATTGAGTGTTTACATAACCTTCTTTAGGTATGTGTCGTTTTGCTTTTCTGTCCCGTTCTTTGTGATTTAGTACTTTTCTTTCAAAATAATTTAACATACATGTTTGATTAAATACGTCATGAATATCTTCTGTATATTTATAAAATTTGACTTTGTTTAAGTCTCTTGCTCTGGTAATTGCCGTCAATATCCATTCTGGATAACTATTGGCCAAAAATGGTTATAATCAAAAATTGTTCTGGTATCATCAACGCTACTACCTTGAGCAGAATGACATGTAGAACCAGAAGCAATAGTAAAATTACTTCGTATTTCATCAACTGGTTTAGACGGTAGAATTTCACTTTTAACATTTCAAAATTTTATATTTTTCAAATTTACATGAAACACTGATGTTTTAGTTTTTAGTATATTCCCTACATAGCAAAAATTATCCCACTTCATATTCACCCTTTCAATTTTCTCATTTTCTAGTTTCATTTGATACATTTTTACAAGTTGTATTTAAACATGCTATGCTGTTGTTAGAATTGCTTATTTCAGTTGTATATTCAAAATATTGTCCAAGAACTGTCATAATAGTAATTTATTAATGAACATATCATACTTGAGATGTTTTTGTTTATCTTTATCTTCCTGTGTGTTAAGTCTTTTACAGTCTCTTAATTAAAAAATATGATCAACATATTGTCTATAATATTATCAGTATATAATTCATAGTCTTGAGTATGTTTATTTCTTGAACTGGTTTTAATTGCTTGGTGTTTCCTGTTGCTATTATAATTTTGTTGTGCTTATTCTGCTCTACAAATTGTTTTATTCTCCAGTATGTGCTTAAATTACTAATAATAGACTTCATCAAATACTATCGCGTCATATCCTGTAGAATCAAATGGTTTTAGTTTAGCGTCACCATAAAAAATTCCAAAGAATATAATTATTGTCATTGCTTCACCTTCAAATGCCTGTAATAATTTGCATGTAGGACAAATATAAACTACTGTATAATCCTTATCCACCATTTCTTGACATATATAACTCTTGCCTGTGCCCGGTAGTTCCCCCCTAATCATCATAGAGTTCCGTGTTTCAGTCGTTTCTATAAGGAGGGCCATTTTTTTAAGGAATTTTTTCGTTTTTTTTTAGGAATTATTTTTGTTTTTCAGGGTCGGCGGCTTTTCGGCTTTTTGGCTTTTGTGGCTTTTACGTGGGTTTTTGTGGCT